ATTTTAATAGCAAGGATGGCCTCCATCAGTACCGTTCACAAATTCACCAAAATCACCGGAAACTAAGGTTTCAAAACCAGTAGCTACCAGGCGTAACCATGGTGTCTTAAACGTTGTGTGCACTAATGTCTCCGAATTCAAATCCAACACCATTAAGGGTAGCTTGACAGACGATCGGAAGCAATGGAGTTCCATCTGTACGGTATTCGGTGTCTATGCTGATCCCACGGCATAAAAACGCACCTAGCCTCACCCAAACGCATTGAACCACGGTGAACCACGGTTACTTCGGGTAACACTGAACTTGGTGGATGAGACAGATGCCATTCTGCTGTCTGCGAAGCGACTCCGCAATGCCTCAAGTGGAGTGGACATACTACCTGAAATCCCGTGGAAAAAGCGTGCAGCGGATCCAACTAAATAATAGAGCAACAGAGAAAGTGAAGATAAGCAAACTGCGATTGCTCACGGTGTTCTTGAGCTTACTGATTCCTTTCCGACGATGCGCAGACACACTACCGGGACCAATGACACTACATCCGTAAGGCTCTTTCTCTCGAGAATGTCGTGGCCACCTCGTTGACAAGGATTCCCGTATCACTGAACTATAAGTGGTGCGGTCCCAGGAGGTTGAAACTAACGGCACAAAGGCTTCTAGAGAACTGGACTAAATTCCGTAGCAGGTTGCAAATAGAAATTCGTATGAAAGCAGCAGGCACACCACCACCTTCTAATGACAACTCAGTAGAGGCGCAACTCTCAATGAAGACACGAAGTGTAGGACCTGACTCGGTAACGGTTTTAATAGTAACCATAACATCCGGAGGGACACATCAGTGCACGAGCGGACACCGGGATCCCGGGGAACCTGATACTTGGATATATGCCAAACTCGTCTCGAGAGTCTGCAACCCATCCAAACATCGATTAGCCGCCGACCTTACATCGGCCGGAGTAAACTCACTTGCTTCATCTATTTCACCCAACACACTTTTGGTCTCCGAGAACCTCTAATGCATGTGCAAAAAAGCCCAAGGTCTACTCAGCAAATTAGCTGAATAAAGATTTCGACACGTGTCAGCAGCTTGGGACCTCATCGCTATCACGGAAACGTGGTTACGCTGTGAGATAACGGATGCCGAAATCGCGCTAACTGGTATGTCTGTTGTCCGAAAAGATCGAGCCAGCAAAGGTGGTGGGGTAGCCCACTACTTTCGTAACAACCTGCAGTTTGAACCCATACAGGATTCGGTAACCGAGGTACCTGACTTCATTTGATGCAGCATTCGGCTGTGAGGGAACGATCTTGGCCTAGTGGTTGTTGTTTACCGTCCACCATCGTCTACACCTAAGATGGACTGCAACTTGGTGGCTGAATTGAGGCAGGTGATAAACAGGAAGTACAGACACATTCTAGTCGCCGGCGATTTCAACTAACGTACTCTAGAATCCCAGGCCACACCATGACAGCAATTCAAAGTAGACCTGAAAGATCTTGTCTCAGGTTTTCCGCTTTATGACCACGTCACTTCGCCCACCAGATTCAGGGAAATAACAGGATCGAATGTTCACTGATAAAGAGATGATAATCGAGAGAGTAATAATCGATAATTCGCTAGGTCGTAGTGATCATGGGACTTTGCATTTCATCTACATCATCAGCATCTACATCTACATCACCTACATCTACGCTGAACATCCCGAGGACCGAACTCAAACAACGCGAACCGTAACTAGTTACGACACCTTAACTCGACGCTTTGAAGTGACCGACTGGAGTTTCCTAACCGAGCAGGCACCCGATATTGCTTATCAGTTCGAGAAACATGACGTCGTTTGTACGGAGTAGGATACCCAAACGTATGGTGATGCGCAACGCCGCATGGTATACCCACAAAACTAATCTGATTCCGAGTACCTGGAAGACGTTTGTCGTCAACCGTTACCACTGTACCCAAATAGTGCGCGGACAAAGTAGGTTGTCAACATGCTTTAGCTGAGCGATTAACTGCAAGTCCTTAGCTTCTGTACAAGCACGTGAACAGCCTCCGCAAGGTGAAAAGTGCATTTTCCCCTCTTCAAACAGCGGATGGTCTAACTCGGACTGCCACACAAGCGTCGAATGTTCTGCAACAACAATATGCACCAACATTTCATTGTATCCTGTGGTCTCCTAAATCTTTGGAATCTATAGTACGCACAGCAGGGCCCACTCATATAAATTTTACGGCAGACATCGTGATGAGAAAACTGCTATCCATGCGCCTGCACGCCTTTCCAGGAATTGACGACATCCGCCCAAAGACGCTTCCTTTGGCGGCTACTATTTGGGCTGAACGTTTGGCGCGGCTGTTCCGGCAGTGCCTTGATGAGCAGCAGGTTCATGCAATATGGAAACACAGAATAATAACTCCCATTTACAAAGGGGATAGTCGTTCCGACCCAGCTAATTATCGACCAGTGACTCTATCACCAGTTCCTGCAAAAGTTATGGAGGCTATCATTGCTGACGCACTCATGTCTTTACTGGACGGCGTTGGTTACATTGCTCAGCAGAAACACGACCCGCCAGAATCGATCGTGCACAACCAATCTATTGTTAGCATGAGACAGCTGGACCGAAACTGTGGACGCTGGTGCAGAAGTTGATGTGGCTTACCTTGATTTCGCTAAGGCATTCGACCGGTTGAACCGTCGTATACTTCTCACCAAACTCCAACGATGTGGCATTGGAGACCTTCTCCTCGGGTGGATGTGTAACGTTCGCTCGCACAGGCGTCTGGAGGTGAGACTACGTGAATCAATGTCGGACTCAGTTCACGTGGAATGCGGAGTACCACAGAGTTCGGTATTGGGGCCCCGTCTATTTTTGGTCTTCATAAACGATCTATTGAGTCAAATTGCGGCAAACTGTTTACTCTACGCCTATGACACCAAAGTTTAATAGGTGATCAAAGCTCCAGAAGACCGTATCCAGCTTCAAATTGACCTTGGCAAGATTTATGAATGATCGGTCCAAAATGTGGCTAAATGTCGAGTGCTCCATTTAAGACGTTGAATGGTTCAACCATATAAGCTGGGGGACCAGGATCTGCAACACTGTTCTCTCGAAAAGGATCACGGTATGTTGGTCCAGGAAGATCTCGACTGCGCGGAGCAGTCCGAAAAAGCATCGAAAAAGGGGATCCAAATCGTGGGGCTTTTACGGAAAGCTTTCGGGTAATTCCAACCGTCGATTTTCCGCTAAATACTTCCCACTTATATACGCCCTCATGTTGAATATGTAATTCAAGCATGACACTCATGGCTGAAGCGGGATCTCACGGACTTGGAGCTCTCACAACGTCGGGCTACCAAAAATGTCTAGGGGCTGCGCCACTTGTCATACGAACAACGCCTCCGAGTGCTTGGCATTTTTAGTGGACGTTAATCGCCATTTGCCTGGGGACCTAATCATGGTTTACTACATATTAAACAACATTCATCACCTCTGTCATCAACTATTGAAGCGGAGTCACAACAGCCAACTGAGAGGTCATCATCTCAAGTTGGCAAAACAATACAGTCGGTTGGAGTATCGAAGAAACTTCTTCTCACTGCATGTTTTCTCACACGTGGAATACCCTCTCAGAAGCCGTTATTTCAGCCCTCACGTTAGCCGTGTTCAAAGCACGTATCGACAGTGCACTGGCTCCACTACACCATTTCACGTAATCCAAACGACCCATACAAACAGCAGAAAAACAAAGCAAACCACCACACTTTTTGCCAGGAAACCACGTACGATAATCTTGGATAGTACATAAAACGGACGGGAAAGCTGTACTCGGCAAGTTCGCATTTTACAATTGTTCACTATTTCTTATTGCCATTTTTGCCTTTACTTTGTTCATCCCTAACCGATCAGCCGGTGGGACATGTCAAGCTTTGACATTTTATCTGCAATCTACCATTGTCCAAGGACCATTGACCCTGGATGATATGCGAAGAAAACGCGAAGGATTTATCTTTATTAATAACGCAACTCTGGCATCATATGTTAAACCTTTTGTTAGTTTACGTAGACTTTTTTATCTGAACAACGCGTGCTTATCTGACGATCTATCCTTGAGTGGGAATATCCTCTCGCACTGATGAGAAATAAAGGCGTTTGTTTGTTCATTAGCACAGATGACCCACTGAAACCTGCATATGCGCGCGCCTACGCAGTAGAAACAAAGCAGATAAAGTGTTCCGAGATGTTTCCATTTAAGCTAAAGTGTCGTCCATGCTCTTCGGGACGGTAGGGAAATACGTCCGTACCAGAACGCATACGCTGGAGGTGTCAGATTGAGTTGCGTCATGGTTACTCGCAAAATGTGTTCGTTTTCCTTTCCGGATCCATACAAATTTCTTTTTTGCGTCAAAGCAGCTTTCAAAAGCACGCAGCTCCGTACTCAAGTTTTAACTGTTCGAAATATGTTCTCAACAAAGTTATGAGAAGTGTGCACCTGCTGGGGGTGCAGTCATGTGCATAGGAGTAAAACATCCATGGGGGTCCAAGGATTTCCTGCGTTCATTACCTAGCATTCTTGGAAGGATTCGAACAAAGCCCAGTTGTGTAGCGGATGCCGAGCTGGAAGCGAACAGCACCGAGCATATTTCAATTTGAACTAACTTCCAGTGACATGGATGACGGTTTAATTCAAACAAAGGCATGATTTCAATTGATATATAGGGTCACAATTCAAATGCACGGATGTCGCTTGAGTATAAGCTAAATAACGTGTGCTTTTACCTTGTCAGAGAGTAAATAAGGCAGCTATTTTGCAACGATGCTCAAACAAAAACGATTCCACGCTACTACCATACGATTCATTTCCCGAAATTAGCATTTTTCGGAGGTAAAGTCAGAGATGTTATTGTTTTAACATCGAATGTGTTTTCACCTCAGTCAACAATAATGATGTACTTATTGGGAGCGATAATCAACCGCAATGTTGGACACAGGGAACACTTACAAGTAGTTGGAAATTGGCGAAGTTAGATCCAGACGATTGGACAGTTCCCGGAGAAACTGTTCCGCTTCATAGGCATCCAACCTGCAAGTGAGTATTAGTAATGAGAGAAGGAAACAAGGTTATTTTGTCTGCTTATTTACAATTCGCTGGATTGACGTCTGCTCTACTGTGTTACCGCTAAAATGCCACAATGGATATTGTTCAAAATTATCTCTAAACCAATATGAATACTTTTATGGGTTCGACTAAGCAGGGTTAGGTAGGCTAGAAACAGTAGGTGGTTTGAGCAGATCCCCACATCAAGATCGATCCCTAGAGATTCTGATCAGTAATCTGAATTTTACCCACTTTAAGGGCTGTCCATGCTGGAACACGTCCTCTAGTGCGTGAGGAAGGGAAAAACCGAGCGCAAAAACTGGTCGAAATTACTAATACCAAAATGACCATTAAGGTTTCAAGTAAATATTGCAACAACGCCGTGTCTCGATTTGAGGTATCCCACCCTAAAGCACCTTGCCACCTAGGCGTTGGTGGCGTAGACACCCAAAGGATTACCACTCGTGACTGGACACACAATTGTTTCTCCGTGCATTGACCTAGTTAATAGCTATTATCGTCTCGCAGACAGTCAAGTTTTACCTGACTCATCTGGCCAAATACTCATACCTTCCTCGATTCCCTGTATGGAGACGACATGGGATTACTCTCCTAACCATCCCTCCATGGGATGGTCAAGCAGAGCAACGGTAGCCAAGCACAGAACTGGTTCGCACCGAAGGTCGTTAAGTGTGAGCACGAAAAAGTGGAAACTTTATCATGTAGCGGGATTTAGATGGGACTGCTCACAAGCTGGGTGATCACCAGCCACTGAAAAACCGCTTTCATTGACGCCGCGGTTGGAGGCGATTAGTGGCTGAAAAAGATGTCGCTCGTGAGCACTCACTGTCCCTTCCATGTTGGCAGAATGTCGGCTATTTAGGTGTATCATTTGCAGTAGTTAAGCGACGTTTGCTAAAACTACAACATTTTCATCCTCTCATCATGTGAGACGAGTGCGTGTAGCAGAAGGGCCATGAAAAGGTTACATTAGCGACCGAGATTGTGGGGCTTTCCGGGTAGACTTTCATGTGAATTGTGCTTAGACGTATGACCTCTGCTCACCTATTTTCACTGTTTTTTGTCTGGCTATGTCATAATGCGAAGTCTCAAGTTAATTCTAGTAAGGATATCCCGAACACTGAACGGAATATGCAGTGCAAGTAAGGCGGAAACATTTGTGTATATATCTTAAATGCATACGACAGCAACTCAAGCGCGTGACCTCCATCTGTCAGCCACCGGAGTGCTTTGCGGGTCGCATGTACACGACCGCGCGCTCCCTGTCGATCTCCCGCTCAAAGAGGACTTTGTTGCGCTTCCATTCCGGGAGCTACACAGATCGATTTTCCACACGCACACTACCACTAGTCTTTTTCCCGCCTACTTATGGAATGAGCCTGCCAGGTAAAGCGATAATGAGCCGAATGTGAGTGTTAAAATCGAAAAAATTACAAGGGAAATATGTGCAGTCAGTACATAGATACTATTATGCGTAACGCGCGAACAATGCTAGCTTCACTTGTTTCCACTGAGTGTGTTCTGTACTGATCCCCTCATTCTGTTTCACATCAGGCGCGTTAAAAGTGCGTGACTTAGATTCAAGTAAATGATCTACGTTTCCAAGTCGTTAACGATCCAGAGATTCAAGTTGTGGACTCACTTTGGTACCGCCTGCAACTAAGACGTGGTGATACATGTTTAGTTGCCCTCGTATACCGTCCTCCCATGTCCACTCTGGAAATAGACAACCGTCTATCTTCTGCACTAAAAACCGTTCTGGCTCGGCTTAACTCACGCTCACCTAGTATGGGACTTCAACCTGCACGCACTAGATGTTCTGGCCTCATCTGGCGAGCAGTTTAGGACCGAACTACAAGAATTAGTCCCTGGTCTACCAGAACATACCCACGTCACTTCCCATATGAGATTCAGAACGGGGGACGAACCGGCCATTTTTGACCTCGTCTTCACCAATGAGGAACTTACGGTAGACAACAGTGACAGTGAGTAGCCCTCTGGGGCCCAAGAACCATGCAACGCTGTTTTTCCGCTCCTGATGTTTCGCGGAACACTCCGACAGGTTAATCGAGGAAGTCCGCATAATAACATCTCACAAGATTTTATCCGACCTCACTAAGATCACTAATTGGTCGTTTCTTGCAGAAAGTCCGTCAGTCAGTTCAGCATCTTAATAACAAACGCGTCAGAGACTAAGACCATTAGCTCAAAAATGTAAAGTCCTTCCTGAGAAGCAGGACGCGGAAATGAATGGCTATGAGAGGTTCACTGAAAAGCATACCAATCTGATTCAAACGCCGGAAACTGCGCTGCCTACATAACTGAGCGAAAGCACTGTGTTAAGCTGGCCCGCGAAGATAAAATGAAGCACTAGCCGGATTTAGCGATAAACTTCCGCTGCAATTCTAAGCTATTTTACAGGCTTGTTAACAAACTTCGCAAAGTACAGCATGTCATCCCTCCTCTAAACACCGTCAGTTGCTAAGCGCGAACTGCCAAAGAAGCAGCTATTACCCTTAGACATCCGTTCGCTTTTACTTTCCAGAAATCATCACCATCCCGCGTCATTCTCACATAAATCACATCACCACCAGGTCATACTCACATCTCCCACACAGCCGCAGATGTGCTGAAACGACTACTGTCACTACGGGAGTATGATTCATACGGTCCTAATAGCATACGTCGTAAGTCATTGACGGTGGCTGTTACGAGGTTGGCTGAACCATTATCTCTGTTTTTCCAGCGCTGTCGCGACGAAATGCAGGTCTCAACAATGTGGAAGTGTGGAATGGTCATTCCCACTTACAAGGGAGGCAATCGTGCAGTTCCTGCTAACTACCGCCCGATTGCTCTTCTTCCCGTACTTGCTAAATTCATAGAATCTGTTGTTGCGGATGCACTTATGGGATACTAAACAAGGTGTCATATCATCGAGAAAGAGCAGCATGGATTATAACAAAACTGCTCATGTACCACAAACTTTTTTTAGCCGTTGCAAGCTGGACTGGATCCGTCGATGCTGGGGAAGGAGTCGACGCCGTTTATCTTGATTTCTCTAAGCCATTTGATCGCCTTGTTCACCGGATACTACTTCACAAGCTTCGGGGATGCGGGGTCGGTGACCCTATCCCGGGCTGGAGTCATTCATTCCTACTCCAACGATGCGTGAATGTGCAAGTTCCTATCATCCTGACCGACCCGATAAAGGTTAACTGGCATTCCTCAAGGCTCACTACTAGGACCACGGTTATTCCTCATATTCAGAAACAAAATCGCGGGAGCGTTGACATCAAAATTTCTACTCTTTGCGGATGATCTCAATGTTTAGCGAGCAATCAAACGAGTAGACGACCAAATAACTCTGCAAGGCGATCTCGACAAGGCGTACGAGTGGTCGACCCAGAACATGTTTGTTTAACCCTGCCAAGTGCATAACAATGAACATGTGTCACCACAGCACTTACCAATATCGAATAGGAGAACACGTCCTGCAGTGCGATTCTCATTAATATGACCTTGGGGTGCTCTTTCAGGACGATCTCGGATACTTAAGGCGGGCTGAGATGACAGTGAAGATAGCCAGCTAACAGTTGCGCGTACTACGGAGGGCGTTTGGTCGGCTAGGTCCTATTCTCTTTCTGCAAATGCTCAATGTTTGAGTGAGACTACAGGTTGTAAATGACATGAAAGCAAGGCATCTCTGGCAACAACGTAACCTCACTGCTTTTGAGAAGCCACAATGAAGGGCGACAACAAATGTGAAGGGATTGCTCTATCTCCCCTAGCAGTTGAGACTAAAGACTCTAGGAGTTTTTAGTGAACAATATCATTTGCGAAAGGATCTCATATTTGTGTATCAGATTCTCAATGATCCCAACCAACCATGCCAATCCTTATTGAAACAGCCACAACACCGTAATGAAAGGCCACCAGTTGAAGTTGGCAACACAGTATAGGCGGTTGGAATGCCGCCGAAATTTTCTTCTCTTTTCGTGTATCCATTCTGTGGAACTTAGTTTAGAATTTGTCATATCCGCTCCTACACTGTCCGAATCCAAAACTCAACTTGATGATGCATTACACCACCTGTATTACATGATTTAAGCCAAGTTACTGGGACACGCAACAGCGTAAGCAAACAATGTGCATACTAGAAATTTGCGGTAAGTCCATGGCTAAGTGTCTTCCTCTGGTACACGGATTTTCGATCTCACTCGTAAACTACGGAAAACTGTTAAGCGTTTGCTTTTCTATCCGTGATAAATCCATCGTTCCATTATATACAGGTTCCAAGCAAACATGTCGGTCGGGATGTAGCTGATGCATATAAGTCATTATTTTTGACAGCGTTACGCACTGCATACGTTTATCGGGATTAGAATATAGAAAACTGTTGAACATCTACCACAATGGGACAGCATTGTTCGCTAATGAAGGTATCGTGTTTACGTAACATTTTATGGTAACATAACTAGTCGCAGTAACTAGAACGGTTCGTAGTAAGAGAAATAACTTGTAACAAATCGTCTGTGTGGCAATTTTCACGTAAATCTTCGGGTTGAAGCATCTAACGTGTGTGCCTAATTGTGGATCTTCGCAGACGCGCGAAACTAAAAGTTTCCTCTACGAGTTCAAGGTCTTATTTCTAAATTGCAGCTTTGGATACTTAAGGGATACGTGTGTGTAAAGCTAGCATCAACAAAAGTGAATCACTTCAAATAACCAATCATACAATCAATCATACAATGGGATTTTTGCCACTGTGAAACATCGCTTAGACCGCCCTGTGTTGAAATCCCTCAACATGAGCTCTCAGACCAGGAGAGCGAAAGCGGATACATATCTTAGTTGCATAGAAAATTGTATCGAGAACTGTATCTATCAAGTGAGTTATTGGAAATCCCTTCGTCGCTCACGCATCAGGCCGGACAGCGTATGCCTGAAGCGTTTAGCTGTCGGTC